CACCCATCCTCCCCAGTCCCTTTCCCTTTGGTAACTATTAGACCATTCTTGGGTTCTGTGATTCTGCTGCTGTTTTGTTCCTTCAGTTTTCCTTTGTTCTTATACTCCACATAAGAGTGAAATCATTTGGTACTTGTCTTTCTCCGCCTAGCTTATTTCACTGAGCATAATACCCTCTAACTCCATCCATGTTGCTGCAAATGGTAGGATTTGTTTTTCTCTTATGGCTGAGTAATACTCCATTGTGTGTATGTTCCACATCTTTATCCATTCATGTACTGATGGACATTTAGGTTGCTTCCATATCACTTTCCATTTTTAATGACATCCCTTAACTCTTACTGCCTAAATCACATTTGCTGAGTTTATTTTACTTCCCTCGTTCCATCCCATTGTCCTCCCATTTGTAGTTACATTATTTTTATTTCACTGGAACATATGGAGCATTATTATACAACATTCTTCTACCCTTGTCCCCACCTTAGTTTTAATCTTAGATTTCCAATGAAGTATATTAAAACTAAATTGCTTAAGTTTTCCCAGTCTCTTTTGTTTGGATAAAGTTCATTTTCTAGTAGATTTCTGAAAAAATGACTCATGGAAAGAATTCTTTGAGCTCTTGTTGTGTAAATTATTTCTGTGGTTTTCATACTTAAAGGAACATGGTGTAGGATTATGGCTTTCTCAGGGATTTTGCCCTTCTTCCTTGTGTCATCAAAACTCTTCATTGTAGCTTTGGTGAATCTTTTTTGGGAGAGTTTCTTGCTCTTCCCCAAGTTAGGAGATCTACTTAATAGTCTGGGTACAGGATGACCCTCCCCAGGGATACAGAGATTTTTTTTGTTGTTACTGTTTCATTTTGTTTCTCCTTTTCCTCTTACCCAAGGACATGGGTTTTTTACCTGTGCCTTGTTGACAGTGTTTGATGACCTTATAATGGCTCAAGGCTTTCTCATTAGGGAGGGAGGATCCTGGTGGATGTCTGTGCCTTTCCTGCAGCAGTAGCCCCTCCTCTTTGAGGCTTGCACCATCAAAGACAGTTTTATCTCTGCTTTGTACTTCTCTCTCCTGGGCACCCAGTGTAGGCCCGCTGAACTCTCAGACCCTGTAAAGTTCTTTGCATCCCTCTAGTCTATGTGCCTCTGGTACTTTTTATAGGTTTATATTTATCTTTAGCCTTTAATCTCCCTAGAGTTTACCCCTGTGTATTCTGGCAGAGATTGGCAAACTCTTTTAACCAATTATTACACAACTAGTTTACATCTCTCAGCTTCTTTTTGGGGTAGGTTGGGGTCATGTGACTTAATAATTGCTTAGTGAAATATGGATGAACATTATGTAAACCATTTCCTGGTCCAATCCATAAAATTCTCTTCTATCCTTCACTCCTTTTTCCCTCAGCTGGATGTCAATTCCCAGGGAGACATTAGAAGACCCCCTTCTTAAGATGAAGGAACAGTCCTCAGCCTTGGAGCCTAGATAACAGAATCATAGTCATCTACCCTTTCCTCCACTTAAGCTAGTTGAGCTAAAGTTACCAAACATCTATTGTGTTAAATCAATAGAATTTGGGTTTTTGTGTTTTATTTTTTTTGATAGAACAGTTGTCATTACACTGGTGCAGGAATTAGTGCTAGAGGAAGGGTGCTACTAAAACAAATCCAAAATGCATAGCATTGGTCCAGCAGACAGTCAAGATGAAAACTAATATCCAAAGTTGTAAATGAGATTTGTGTCATGAAGTGACAAAACAATTTTTAAGATGGTCCTTTGCAATTATGAATGTGGACCACATGCTTAATGACCCATGCTCTAGGGAAATAATGGAAAGTAGAATGTTGGTAATGTTGTTACTGTCTATGCTTGTCAGTAAAGGTGATAGAAAAAAAGAGATGGGCTAGAGCAATAATTTCTTTGCAAGTAGAAAAAATTAAAAAGATGGAAAAGCCACTGCTTCCAGCCTCAAATGTAAGACATTATACATTCAAAGGGCTACTAAGACTTCTGGGTCCAGCACAAACCTGACTAAAGGTGTGACATTTCCTCCCAAACATGATAGCTTTAAGGTATGAGGGCAAAGGAAGGAAAGATATAAGGCAGGCTTGATAATTATATTTAGGAAAGAACTTTGAGAGATCCTACTAGTATATATAACTATACTTTTCCCTTAAAAACAAATCTGCTTATTTGTAATGCCAAACAAATTGCAGAAATGGAATCCAGCAGCCTTTATGTATTCCATCATTAAAAGTATTTTGGGGCTCCCAAACTTAGTCAGGGAAGATATGGCTGCAGAAATTGTAAAGCCTCTCAAAGAGGGCACAATCCCCAGTATTTCAAATGTAATAGTAGGCAAAAGAGAACCTGCAAACGGTAGATCCTAGAGCTGTGAAGAATGTTGGATCCAAGTAGTTCCTTCCTGATAGCAAAGTGGAAATCAAGGAGATGTTCCTACTGCCAGATCAGAAGGACCTCAAAATACCTATCAAAACTGGTATATATAGACCCGTATCTTTTGTGTGTCTCCTATGTTCCCTTTGCCATGGAAGTTTTTATGGAAAATCACCTACTCTATCTTCACCATAGTATGTTGGAACTGGTGACAATTAGAGAGATGTCTATAACTTGTTAGATCATTCGGAGATCTCAGACTTTGAGCTGGTTGCAATAACTAGATGGAATTTTGGATTGTCTCCCTTGGGTCAGGAGGGAGTGTGCTAAAGGTTTGGTAGGATACTTGGTAACCAGCAAGACAAGACTGTATTAGAAACTGGCTATGCAATCACTGAGTCTATTTCTTCTTTTCCTTAGGTACCTGGCTAAAATTTCTCAACATCCTTGAAGTTAGGCAAATGCTGGCCAATGGAATATGGGTAAAAATGATTACATGATTTTTACCTGCTCCACAAAACTTCCCAGGCAATCTTCCACATTGCCTCTCTTGTTTTCCAGCTAGATGTTGACATCCTGGACAGCACTGCAAGATAGATTTGAAAAATGGCGAAGTTTCTGTCAGCCAAGGCCCTGCATGACTGTTTGGAGCAGATCTTGCTAACCCTATCCTGTCATATATTAAACTTTCCATGAGCAAGAAATAGTGAGTATTTAAGTCACTGAGATTTGGGATGTTTATCTGTTACTGCAGCTAGGGTTATTCTAATATATATATGATATATGGTTGGGATCTAACTTTTTTTGCAAAATCATTATTGTTCTAATGGTATTTTTGGTAGCTGGGTCATCCTTTCTCTACTGATTTGAAATGTCACAATATAAACTCAGGAATGTTCCTGGGCTCACTTTCTTTTCTACTTAATTATTTCTCTGACCCAGTATTACATTTAAAATTATTATAACTTTGGATTTTATTTAAATACCCAGAACCCTGGTTTACTCATAAGCATTTTTTTCCTCAAAATGTTCTTGGGTATTCTTATATACTCTTTACAAACAGTTTTTAAAATTAAGTTGTACATTTTATTTTTATGTTGGGATATTAATTTTAATGACTCTTAGAAATTATTTGTATTTTGTACACGTTCTCTTTGTTGTTCTCTAGTTGAATAAAATGGTTGTCTGCTTCCGTGAGTGGGCCTAAATGATAGAATTGGAGAAGAAATGGTATGTGTAGGAACTTGTTCAGTAGCCTGAGTAGGACATCAGAATGCAGAAATTAAGTAGCCTTAAGTCAGATATTGGAATGCTGTTTGTGCTTTGAACATGTGTTTCTCTTCAAGGGAAAACTTGTTTTGAAAGAAAGTCATTCTCCATGTTGTTTTCAGATTAAAATTAAAAGGATGTTTTTCAGTAAAGACAGCCAAAATTCAGAGGGCCAATGAAGGGGAGAGGGTTATTTGTGTTTATTTTTAAACTAAACATGGTATGAATATTCAGTGTTCAGCTACACTCTCGGTCATGGACAGAAGTTTCTAGTCTTCACATAAACCAGTAACAATTTAGTTCATGTCTGAAAATAGGTGTGAACTACTTCTGAATTTTTTTTATCATAGGCACCCCCTGTGACAAAATAGAGGTTTTCAAGTGTTATAACTGCGTTACTGTGCTTAAAGTTTACTTTCTTTTGTGGTTGAATTTATGTTCTCCACTTTGCTATCTGCAAGCTCCATCCCTCAATTTGCAGGTCTCTGCTCAGTGCCATTTTATTAGAGAGAACTCTCTGGCCTCCCTGAGAAAACATTATCTAGTATTCCTCCCTCCTTGATTGGTCTTCTGTGACATTCATCACCAGATATTTACATGGTTGTCAGTCTCCCTATCTGGAATATAAGCTTTGTGAGTACAAAGACTTTGTTTTCTTCTCTGTCATGTCCCATACTTGAGCAGTGCTTAGTAGGTGCTCAGTTAAATATTTGCTTCTTGAATATATACTCTAAACATTTGAATATTATTTTGAATAAATAATCATGGAAGGTTTTTCAGTTTCTCAACAGCTGAATAGCTGCTCCTACCAGTTGGGAGGCTATTTAAATAAACTAGGTGAGAGAAAGGATGGCTTGGACCTGGTAGTAATAGTGGAGAATGAGAATGGAAAAGAAGGTAATATTTGATCATAGAAGAGAAGATACGAATTAATCCTCTAGGTGGTTCTACAACCATTGCTCATCTATGGGGGAATTTCTCATTGATCTTACTCATTTCCAATTTGGTGTGGTTATGATAAGGGTTGTTTTTGTTTTATATTTTTATTATGCTTTCATCTTCATGTAAGGTATCTGAGTTCCTTTACCCCTTTCTTCTGGAGGACCCACTAGGGTCCAGGACTGTTGAGTGGCAGCCTATCCATAGTGAAAAATCAGAGAACATTTCACTCAGCAACCTGAACCTCTCAAAGTTCTTGTCTTCCTCTTTCTGACCATCTCCAGTTTCACTTCCCACTCTACCCTCTGTCTCTTTTTTTCTAGTTTTATTTGTTTTTTATTTGGTTTTTTTT